TGTGAAGAAATGCTGCCATAAAACTTTCTTTCGACCTTCACCAGCGTGAAGGGTACCTTTCACGAACGTGAAGAAAAGCTACCTAAAAATGAGTTTTCTTATCTTTTTAGCACCAAGCCTAATAGCCGCTTCGAGATATCGATTAAGGTTTCTTTTAAAGTTAAAAATACATTTAGAAGCCAAAAATTATACGCACCAAAAATCTTGATGTTACAATCTTCTAGAAAATACTTCTCTACCATTTGTGAGTTTGTATATTCAAGTATATAACACTAAATGAAATTCTGATATTAAATCTATGACCTTATTATTGAGTATGAAGTCATTTTTTTCTTATAAGGTTAGGAGGTCATGGATTTAAAACAAATTATGAAATGTTATATACCTAAATATCACAAGTTTTTGATTAGAGAAAAATTGTGCTTGTGAATACATCTTACCCTCCACACCCTACTCCCGAATACAATATACTAGTTTGTTTGATTTTATATGAAAATGTTGTGTACAAATATAGTATACAAATTCCTTAATTTTATTTGTTTTTATATGATGATGAGAAAAAACATTGTAATGACTGTATCTTGACGTTAGACACCGGTAAAGAATATACATCTTTATTTTACACATGGTCGGCTATGCAAAAGAAAGGTACAAACAAAGAATTAAAAGCAAATTGTTTCAAGAATATGAGAGTACAAGTCAAATAGAGAACTTTATTCCTACAACATATTCCTAAAAGTATCTACAACACGCACTCCTCATATTTAATGAGGTTTGAACCCTTAACCTATTAAAAGACTAGACTCTACTGGTAAATTGGGTGCTGTTAGACCAATAACTCTTTGATATAATGTAGTTTTTTGTGTAAACATCAATTTATCTTTCAATCATGAATGACATTTTTACACCAAATTTGTTCACAATCATAAGATATGCAAATAAAGAAATTCGTTAATACAACACATTCATAACAAATTAACAACCCACATACATTTATAATATATCCTCCTTGAAAATATGGTTTGAAGGATGAGATATAACCAGAGACCTCACTAATACAGTAATACCCTTATATTTATCAACTTTATAAATTATACATATGTTCTTTTTATGAAAAATTTAGTAAACTTTATTATTGATGATAAATTATTTTATTATATAAAACAAGATTCTTTCGAATAGTAAAAGTTAATTATATAAACATATAAAGATAATAATACACATGCATTTAAACATTACTAGAAGGTACTCGCGCAATGCAACGATATATATCTTGATTTCAATGTTTCATTTTATTTTTTTTGGTCTTTGCCGACGTTATAATACGAATTTATATGGTTTTGAGCAAACAATAATATTTATCTTTAATTCAATTTTTGTGTAATTCATAAATTTGAAGATATGACAAAAACTAAAAAAATTATAAAAGTTACTCATTTTTTGTGTAATTTCTTTAATTCAATTTTTTATTATAATTTAATTTAGATTTAATGACGAAATGATTTATTTTTGGTTTAATAGTATAATTTTTATGAAGATAATAATTAAGTATTCTGTTAGAACTCAATAAATATCCTAATTATGTTTTAAATATATTTAAAATGAGAATTTTATCATCTATATGATTGTATTTATCTATAGTTAGTTACACGAATTCAAATATGAAGCTTAATAAGTTGTATTTATATACAATTTACTTGTAATCTTGAATTTTAAGTAATATGCATCAATAAACAGTACTTCATGTATAAAAAATGGTTTTTAAGAGTTTTTGTCAAATATTTTATAGTATAATATAGATAATAACTATATTTTCCCACAAATAAATACTTAATTTTAAAATAAGTAGAACACATAATCATGCAATTAAGGTTAAATTTTGAGCTTGATCCCTAACGTTTGTTGTTTTCAACGAAAATCGTCCCCAATATTCATTTATTACAAATTTCTTCCTCACATTTGCAAAATCTAACAGTTTTCATCTCTCCACTGGCAATCGTTATCTTTTTCTTTTCTTTCGTTCACCCCTATTTAAATGAGGGGTAGTTTGACCACTCGATGATCTTTTTCTCCAATGATCACCCCTATTTTTCCTAATGATCCACCCCATTGCCGTCTCTCTCTTCCTCTTCCTCTTCCTCTTCCTCTTCCTCTTCCTTATCTCTTTCTTCTAACTATTCATCTAATTCCCACCCTCTCACCTCGTCTTCTTCTTCTTCTTCTTCTACAATAGAGTACCTAATGGTTGCTTAATGCCAAAATATTATGATACATTCTATTTAGGGGGGTTTTGGGCTCTTTGCTTGAAAATTTTATGTGACTTTACCAAACTAATAGCTTGCAAATGCTCCAGAAAACTTAGGGCATTTTATTCATTACCAAGCAAATAAACTATATATTCTAAAGGTACAGTACCATTCTGTGAAACAAATGGTGAAGTTGTATTATTTAGCTCTAATGCACTTTGCAATCTTTTAGTTCCAATAGTCTAAAATCAACCTTTAAGACGAAAACATGAACAATGCCCCATGTTACTTGAATTTAACGTGCATTCATCACTTTAAGAGACAAAAAAGAATCCATAAGTGGTGTTGATGTAGGAGTTGTTTAGAATAAAAATATTTTCAACAAGCTTTTGATAAACAATGGACATGGGATTAGAAGTATAGACGAAGCCAACTATAATAATATTTAGAAGGAAGAAGAAGAAGAATAGTTAAAAAGGAAAGAGAAGGGAGAGGTAGGGGCAAAAGGAGAAGAAGATAGAGACGGTGATATGGGTGGGCCATAAAAAAAAATGGGTGTAAGAGTTGCATGGTTGGAGTTAGGTGGGGGAGTTGCTTCAGTGGTTGGGGGAGTTTTCTAATCCCCGACCCTGGTTTTTATGAATGGCCCTCGACCTTGGGCCCTTTCCCATCCTCGGTTTATTTTTCTGGTTAACCCTAGTCAAACCCCGATCTTCATCCTTGATTAAGACCTAATTTTAAAAAATTATATATATACACATATATTGTATAAAAATATATTAAAAAAGTTATATACCGGGTACGAACGGGTCAGGGGATATGCTACCCGGCCTTAGCCCCAACCTCGGTTTGAGTCTACCGAGGATCCCCCACCTTGGGACCGGTTTTAACGGGGAATCTCCGTATTCGTTCGAGTCGGGTGAACCAAGTTCTCCATCATATCAGGGTAAATCACCATCCTAAAGATGTGCAAGTATGTGGGGGTGGGATGGGTTCATTTTTGTAAATGATTTCATAGTTTCTAAATGTAAAGTTTTCCCTCATTTAATAGGAGTTAACAAATTAAATTAAGTGATGTTAGTGCATGGGACAAAATATGCTGGATTTTACCAACCTGGAGGACAAATTTGTAATAAATGAAAATAAGGGACAATTTTACTCTTCAATTAATTAAAATTTGAAATAAATAATAATATAGATAACATATTTTAACACGTTTTTAAATAAAAATACATAAGTCTCTAAATTAGGGACAAAAACTTTAATTGTAAAAAGTAGTAAAAAATGATATAAATGAATAATATTACATTAAATTTGGTCTTTTATTAATAACATCAAATTTGATGTAAAGTTGGTGTAACATTCGATATATAATACGAGATTTGTTGACCCCATTTAAAATGGATCTTATTGGTTATTTATTACATCTCAAAATAAATGTTTACAATAAAAAAACATAGAGTTAAAAATTTAATGTTAATTATTACATTTTTTTATTTACAAAAGGACAATTTTCCTTAATCATAAAGAGAGATTTTTTTTAAAGTAAGTTAGCTTATTTCTAGGTATACATTTGGATACACATAACCTAAGTTATAAGATAGAAAAATCACGTGTTTGAATGAAATGAACGCTTAAAATTTAAATTATTTAGATGAAACTATAAGTGTTTATAATTATTAAAATACAAAATTATAATTATTACATTTTATTGATTTATTTATTTTTATCAACTTCTAAACATTTATATGTTAATTAAGAATATACCTGAAAAACTAGTTATCTATTTTTTAAACTCGACATAAAATTTAAGACAAACATAAAAATAAACATTGATATATATTTTAGGATGAAGTCATAAATTTTGAACTTTTAATTAAAAAAATAATTATACTAACTTCCAATTCTTGTTTTACAATAAAATCTTACATCCTACTACATTACACAAATACATAATTAACACTTATATTGCCTTTAATATGTAGTTCAGTTAGCAAATGGATGAGACGCTTTGTCCAAATAGAAGACAGATCTCGGATTCAATTCTAAAACCCCCCTACTAGTCTCAACCGCTAAACAGACTAAAAAATATCCCTTACATGATGCCCCTGAAAAGGGGGGGGGGGAGGGGTTATGTATGAAACTGGTTAAGAGAGTGTTTGAGATTGCTTATTTAAAACAACTTATGTTTTTTTGTAAAAGTTTTTATTAACTTATGTGGTATTAAACCGGAGTTAAATAAAACAGGGTTAAAATTATAAACTGGTAATTAACAGTTTTTCATAAGTCATGAAATATTAACTTATCAAAAACAACTTATTACCGGACACCGGTATAAACAGTTTTTTTCCTTATCCAAACACAAGAAAACATCTTATCACCGATGTCAACCTAAAATAAATTAAAAAACAACTTTTATAAACATTCACAAAACCCCGCCTAAGATTATCACTAAACAACTTTTTTCTCTAAATACATAAAAATCTATTATTTTTTAAAATATGCACCTAAAAAAGTAAAAAAGGCAAAAAGTTTCAAAACGGTGAAAATTTGAAAAAAGTGAAGTATTTAAGTTTTTTCTTTTGTTTTCTTCATTAAATTATTATGCATTCAAACCTTATGGTCAGTAGAATACATATTGAGAACTGTGTTTTTCCCACTGATTTTACGCCGGTGCGGCCATGAAACCTGCCTTTATCCCCCCACTATATACCCCTATCTCTCCTCTTTCTCTTTTCTTCTTCTCCATCTCTCCATCTTTTTACCTCTTAAAACAAACTTTCTTCTCAACTTTCATCACTCTACCCTTGTCATCTCTATTTCAACCCACAACAGATTATTCAACCTACCTTCTTCGATCTCCTCTCTGCATGTGATCCATTCAGATTTAATCCTTCTTTTCTTCAAAGTTGTACCTCAAAAATCGTAGCTTTATAGGCGTTTGATCAAGTTACAAATACAAAACCCTCTTTTTTTCTGCAAATATTTGGTTTTTAACGGCCTCTTTTTGATCTCACATTGCTTCAAAATGGTGGGGTTTTGCTGATTCTGGTGGGTTTTTGTTTAGAAATGGCGAGGGAAAATAACTGGCTCTCGTTTTCTTTATCACCAATGGAGATGTTCACTTCGTCTACTTCTCAGCCACAGCAGTATTTCTTCAACGATAATTTCTACGCCAATGGTACTTATTTTGAAAAGAAAAGAAATTGAAAAATATCTGTTATTTTGTTCTAAAAATTTGAAGAAAAACTGGAAATTTCTGTTTGAATGTTGAGTATGCATGGTGTGTGTTCAAGTTTCAAGATGTAAAATGGTTTTGATGATGGATTTTTTTTTGCTTTTGGAAAACGATGTAGTATGCATGTATGTATATATGTATGTAACTGAGTTGATAATGAGTCACCAATCTTCCGGTGCAGGTTGGGCTAATAATGGAAAGTCTCAGACGATGTATACCGACGGAGATAACGGAAATGGTCAAGGGGAAGTGAAAGACGGTGGCGATTCGCCTCTTTTTCGAAGTTTCATGGAGTCTCATATTCACCAGCAACAAGCTCCGAAGCTTGAAGATTTCCTCGGCGGCGATATCAACATCAACATCAACACCACCACCGCCACCGCTACCGCCGCCTCCCACCCATTTCGTTACTCCGACGGTTCGCAAACCGAAACTCAGGACTCGTCGTCCTTGACTCACATCTACGACGGCAGCAGTTCCGTCTACTTCACCGAACAACAAGATCTCAAGGCCATCGCCACGGCTGGTTTCCCAACATTTTCAACCAACTCAGGGTCCGAGGTGGACGATTCGGCTACCCAAATGACCGAGTTCGTCGGCCAGTCTATTGAGTCAGGTAACGAGTTAGCTTATGCTCAGTGTCCAATGAATGCGTTATCGTTAGGAATCACCACTACCGCCGGCGGCGGCACCACCCATCGGAGTTCCGATCAGAAGGCCGTCGTTGCCGTTGATTCCGCTGCTCAGAATAATTGTAAGAAGATTAACGATACTTTTGGTCAAAGAACTTCGATCTACCGAGGTGTCACCAGGTATGAATTCATTTATTTATTTTTCTTAATCCTTTTTTCAAGAAATCTTTTTAACAAATTGGGTTCAAAAACTATCAATTTTTGCAGACACAGGTGGACTGGAAGATACGAAGCGCATCTTTGGGATAATAGCTGTAGGAGAGAGGGTCAGGCCAGGAAAGGACGTCAAGGTACTTCCTTTTAAACCCCTAAACCCTAACCTCTAAACACTGTTCAAATTGGACCAAACGTAAGTAAGGATTTACTGGATAAGAGTATTCTCCATCATTAAAATAGCATAGTATGGGTTGTAAGATTCTCGGTTAGCAAAATGAAACTGCATTGTCTTTTTTCTTTAGAAAGCAGTGTAAAGAGTGAGATATAGTGGTTGTTGATGTAAATAATTATTATACAATTGACTGAGATACTTCTGCTGCAATGAAATGAAGAAGTGAAGAGTTCTTCATGGTTTTCAAATCAGTCAGGAGTTGTTGTCATATGGGATTGATGTAATACTTTTGTTTATAAAATACTCTTTGCCCAAAATGGAAGGAATTTGTCCACAAGATTTATAAAAACCCACTTACAAATGTGTACAACAGTATCTGTATACATTTCTTTCTCTTTCTAAATCTATCACATTCCTACATACATGGTGTCTGTATCTATAGTCTGCCTGCTCTGTAGTTTCTTTTCATCTTTGCCTTTTACTTTTGCTTTTTCACTTTCCTTTTGCCCCCATTTTCCTCATTATGTTTGACCTAGTCAAACCCCTCATTCTGTTTCTTGTTGTTTTGTGTTGATGTCTCTGTACATCTTGTTCCTGGATCCTTATGAGATATACTGGTTTTGTTTGGTTCGATTACGTGAGCTTCCACATCTTTAGCTTTTACTTTATCTGAAAGCGTTTTGGTGCTCAAATCATGGACCACTGAAGTAAGCTAATGCTTGATTTCTTTTGCTGGCTTTTTGCATGGAATTGGCCAACTGCTGTTACTCGGCTCTCGATATTATTTTCTGCAGTGTATTTGGGTAAGCGAATTCAAGTATTATGCACATCGATTGAGTCTTTTTTTAATAACGTGGATGTTCGGGCCGGCATGTGCGTACCTCGACTAATCCCATAGGCAACCCTCTGGTGGCTTCTTGAGCTACCCCAAAGGGTTCATTAGTGTTTGTAAATACTTGTCAAATTAATTAGCAAGTAGATACTTGATTGTAATGGAGATCAAATGGATTATCAGGCGGCTATGACAAGGAAGATAAGGCGGCAAGAGCCTATGATTTGGCGGCTCTTAAGTACTGGGGACCGACCGCCACCACAAACTTCCCGGTAAATCTATCTTGCCGTATCCTCTCGGTTTCACTTGATTGATTCGATCTTTTTCTTTTTGGTGCAACGGACTTAAGAGATTATGATGCATTTGGGTTTATGCTGATTTAGGTTGCAAACTATGCGACGGAACTGGAAGACATGAAAAATTCAACCAAGCAAGAGTTCATTGCATCACTAAGAAGGTTTGTTTTGTTAACCTTTTAGCGACTGGTCATATCTACCATGGCGTTCTCTAAGATGGTTTGTTTCGATAATTCCAGGAAAAGTAGCGGTTTCTCGAGGGGAGCGTCGATTTATAGGGGTGTCACAAGGTTTGAACTTCGATAACTGATTGTTTATAGTGCATTTATCTCAATTTGTTTATTAAACATTGGTCGAAAATATGCAGGCATCATCAACAAGGTCGTTGGCAAGCTAGGATTGGCCGTGTTGCTGGAAACAAAGACTTGTATCTAGGAACTTTCGGTAAAATTTACCTCATTTTGTACCACTACAACAAAATCGGCTTTAAAGGATGCAAAATTGTCTTAAGTGTCCTAATAGGCTGTTTTATAGGACCAAACACTTGTGCGTCGTGTACATTATTAAATGTTACAATTAGCTTATGGGTGGCTTTAACAATTTTTTAGCACACTTGATGTGTTCTTATTGTGAATCATGATGTTGCAGCTACCGAGGAAGAAGCAGCTGAGGCTTACGACATAGCGGCGATCAAATTCCGGGGGATGAATGCAGTGACGAATTTCGAGATGAAACGGTACGACGTCGAAGCTATTTCCAACAGCTCCCTTCCAATTGGCGGCTCTGCAAAGCGCCTAAAAATCTCTCTTGAGGCAGCGGCGGAACAAAAACCTTCTCTGATCGCTAACCACCACCACCACCACCACCACCACCTTCAACAGCCTCAATACAGCAGCGGCAATAGCAGTAGCAGCATTAGCTTTGCCACCATCCCGCCGGTTTCCGCCATTCCTTACGCCATGCCATTTGATCCAAACTATCATCAGAATTTCTTCCATCATCTCCACCCCAACAACGGAGGTCCGCCAGAAACCTCCGGCTCGTTGTCTTCTGTTGGGAATCAGATGGCTTTACTGCCGCCGCCTGCTGCCGAGTTCTTCATTTGGCCTCACCAATCTTATTAACAACACAAAAGCACTCCAAATAGCTTATAGCACCAGACAATGCTAATTTTGAAACTTGAATGTGCTTTTGTTTTTTATTCTTCTTTTTCTTGAAGCTGACCATTGCTGACCGGTTTAGCATAGCTTATCGTAGTATTAGTCGGGCTGGGGGTATAATGTTCTAACATTTTCCGTTCATCGAGCTTGGTCGAAAACTTGTATACAGGCGTTTGGAATGCTAGTTGGTAGAACCGATCGATTGGTCTTTTTGGTGCACAAAATCTGTATTTGCAGATACTGAATGGAGCTTATCATTTCAGTTATTCTTGTTCGAAATCAAAGTGCTATTTTTATCATGTTTTCTTGTGATCATATAGTGAAATATAGCACAAGATGCAAATGCGTGAGTTTACTAATAGACTTGTTTATAGAACAAATATTTATGGGAACCAACTTTCCTAGAATACACTTTACAAATTTTCCATTCCGTCGACGTTTCTCTTCCTATCGCGGCTTCAAACCTTGTTAGGTCCCTATTACTGATGTGATGATTGACGGTTAACGTCGAAATACGTTTAGAATAGTTTCTTTTATACTACTCAACATGTATTGAGACTAATAGATTCTGAAGACTTCCAGTGATGCTGAAGATCCAATGAAGTTGTTCAACAATAACTCAATTACTCAGATCTCACTGAAGTCGTCCAAAAACTGACGAATGAAGTCGTTCAACAACAATTCAATTACTCAAGATATGTCACTGAAGTCGCCCAAAAATTAATGCTGAAGACATGAAACACTGAAGGTGAAGACTTTCAACACTGAATAACATGTAAAAGAATGATCATACTCTGAAGACTTGATAACCCTGAAGACTAAGATGCATTTGACGCTGAAGCTGAGCAAAGTAGCTCTAGCACTAGAGATGACTCTAAAGTAAAGGTCAAGGTTTGAGGATCAAACACTAAAGTCTACAACTTTAAAGTGTGGAACACTAAAGTCCTTTAACATTGAGGTGTGTAACACTAGCGATGACTTCACTCTAGATCATTTACTATTGAGGGTCCTGAAAAAATGACTATATGTCATGCATCGATAGTAAGTACAATTACGTTATTTATATCTAATATGTTGAGTGCTTACTTCCAAAAGAGGCTAGAAGCATGCTTAAAGCGTTAACATATTTCTACAAGTCAACTTATTGTCTGTATAGCACAAAGTGTTGGTCTCAATCATCAGGTTATATAATAATACAAATTGTGTGTCCCACTTTAATGATCAATCTTCATGAAAGCTCCATAACAATGACAGATCTATGATTTAACTTCAAGAACACATATATGAACTTTGAGAGAGAAAGTCAAACATTCAATGCTCTGGTCAAACCCTCTATTACTTAATGTGATTTTACAATAAGCTCTCTTACAACAATTACAAAGACATCACCTTATTTATAAGGTCAAACTTCTAAACATAGTCAAAGTCAAACCTGTCTAAGAAAAGTCAAACACGACGACTTTTACAATTATAGACAATATTTAACTTTCAAGACGAATACAATTTAATACTGATTTTCAGTCCTARCATTCTCCCCCTTTGTATTCAGACTTGAAAGAAATTTTGCACTTTGAGTCCTGTTTGAACTTTGAAGCTTTAAGCACATTATGTCATCTTCCAAAAGAAATCTTCAACTTGAAATCTTAAAACAATCAACTGTTGAAATAGATCTTCTAGCATTCTCCCGCTTGAATGTAGAACCACGATGGTCTTCTCTTTTGACAAAGTAGAACAGTATCAACCAAAACAATGTACAAGATATGATCTTCAAAGAATCTTCAGAATTAATCTTCAGTAAACTGTTGTAAAGATGATCTTCACATTCAACATCTCTCAGTCATTGTAGCACATGAATAATCTTTCTGTAATTATCTTCAGTCACACTTCTTTTGAGTCTTTTGCCAATTTCAAAGTTACTCCCCCTTGATCTTTGCATCAAATTCCCTTTAAAATGTTCGGAAATGATATTTCATTCATTATTACATACTCTCCCTTATGATGAAATGAAAATCATTCCATCATACATAAGATGAATGAAATCTTCCGTTTAAACCGTCAAATCATGAAACTGTAAGTAGATCTTTGCAAATCCACTTATTTAATCTTAGGAATGGGAAGGTAACATCCAATTTCAACGAATGAAATTGTTTTCAATCTTATAAAAAGATTGGCCTGTGAGTATAACAGATATACTCAGTACAACGGATGTACTGTATATATGAGACTTTTTGATGCTTATCTCACCAGGTATTCCATTCAATCATCGATAGCTTAAGAAAAGCATATCTATGAATGTTTTGGCAAAATAACATATAAAATGCTAAATCTGTGTAGTGTAGAAGAATAAAGCAACGTATGCTTCTGTTTAGGCTCAAAAAGATAAATCGTGTGGACTATACAAATTTATCAGACTCAATATATGATAAAAAAGACTTGAAGGGGGGACATATATCATTTTGATTCAATATCAACTTTCTCCGAATGAGAAATTGATAGATGATGAGCTGCGTGCCCCAAGTGTTATTGAAACACTTATCTTTTGTGAGATAAATGAGTAGTTGGTGGGGTTGTGACAAGAATTGGCCTGGGCTTTGCMTTTTTCAATATTAGTCTCCAAAAAATCAAGAACTAATAGATTATGTGGTATGCCCGGATTATAGAAGTTTAGAACAAGATTTTCTTATTCTTTTAATCCTGACACAACTCTCGTCAATTTTTTTAGCTCACAACAACTACCTCTCTCTTTTTTATTTTAATCTCAGCACACAAACCCCTTTTGATTTAAAGCTCACTCATATATGGTTGTCCTCTTGGGTAGGTCTGTCGGTTTTGACATTCCATAGAGGTATTTCTGATAAGCACTCAGTCCCTCCTAAAATTTAGCGTTATGCACTTTTGATCACAATGGTTGATCAAAATATTATTTCTTTAAAGCACAATAATCAGATAAAAAATTGATCAAGAAATTTGGCTTTAAGCACAATTAACGAAAGAATAATGCGACAACGATTCGATTATTCAGTATATATGAGAGAAATGAATGAAGATCTGTAAGAACAAGTTTACAGATTCTGATATTCAAAAAATGAATGTATATTTATCAATGTAAAAAAAATATCAGAAAACAAAATTGAATACAAACGAGTATATTATCACCGAAAAAGATTTTCATATAAGAGACGTGATAATAACAGTTTGAAGAATAGCTGAAACAGGTATTGGAGTTATGTACGACGATAAATTACGCAAGTAAAATCTCAGGAAATACCTGTTCAAAAAAAGTACTCGTTTCAGAAAACAGTTCCATTTTCGAAAACATTTATTAAAAAATTCTAGAAACTCCCCCTAGAAAACAGATTTAAATAATGAATCAGTTAAGCTCAAAAGAATAATAAAAAAAATTGAAACATTTTCAGCACGGGTTCTAAACTGAGTGTTTAGAAACCACACTTGTTAAAGCACGGGTCCTGAACTGAAATGTTCAGAAGCCTCGTTTGGAATAAATTACAACTCCCCCTGCATTGGTGTATCACTGAAATGATATTCTGATCAGAACAAAATGGACACACCTGCAAAACCAGATTAAGTAGATTTTGGTACCCAAATGAATTTGGGTCCTATTATGTTAGTATCGGGTTAGGGTATGTTGTAATTTCCAAACCATTTATTTCTATAAGATATTCTCTTTTCAGCACTATTAACAAGATGATTATATACAAAATATGACTAATACCAGTTATTATAATCATACCTGTTCTTACCTTTCCAGTTGTTCTGATAGCTGTTATTGTTGATCCTCTCTCTCAGTGATTTGATAATAATCCCTTTTATCTATCGATGTAATTTTGTTTCTGTATTTTCAGTTCCAGCAATCATACGCTGAGTATGTTCAGTGATCGCTGAAGAACTTGCTTTGTAAATTCATCAAAGACAGCAATACTTCAAGAAGACAACACTCACACCAAAGAACCTTCAGTGAATGTCGAAGACTGAAACTGAAGATTAGAGACTGGCGAGTACGTGATCTGAAGCGGTATTCAGTGATTACAAGCCTATCTACAAATGTGTGAAGACTGCTCTAGCTTCAACGAATGATGATGAGATCTCCAGGTTATTCCAGCATTCAGCGATCAAAGGAAGCTTGCTTAGCACGATTGTTGTTGTCTTGTCCTTTTGCACACAAAGGACAAACCCATACCCTTACTAAAGTTAGTACGGTACGGAGCCGATTAGTCGACTCTTTGTCCACCAACTTTAGGCAAGGATGTCTGTTCAAGAATAGTGCATTTGTACTATTCACTGTAGCAAAGGACAAGCCTTCCTCTTAAGGCTTGACACGCACTCTAAACCCTACCTTATTGCATTAAATGTTCATTTAATGCATTGGGTATAAATAGAAGTGTTTCTTGTCCATGCAGAGTGCGCGCATCTCTCTGCTATCCTATTCTTACTTCAAGCATCTTCTAGCTTAAGTAAAGGATCTTCCTT